AACAGGATGAAGATCAGAGGTTTGTCTCCGTCACCTCCTCCAGTTTCTCCTCACATGAACTTCACATTCACATGATTTCTCTCAGTCCTTTAGATGAAGACAGGACTCCGGTCACTGCTTTGGGTCCATCAGAACCAGACGGCTCTTACTCTGCTCTGTCTACGGCTCAACTCAGTGCAGGTGAGACTTTGTCCTCTGCTGTCCTTGTCCAGTCCATATGTCTTGGTGTTTCCCTCCAGTGGTCCAGACTCTCCTGTAATCTGTAAAGTGGTTCTGGATCAGCAGGTCTCCAGACTTCCTGAAGCTCTCAGAGGGGTTCTTTGGACTTTACGTGGTTTTTCTCTCGTACTGTCCTTCTTCCTAAACATCTGATAGAAGTGAAAACAGGACAAGTGTCGGGTCCAAAAACCTGTCCTGCAGCTGACGAGGATCTGAAAGACCTCCTTCATCATCATCATCACTGATTCCTGTGCCATGTCTCTGCAGGACTGAGGTGTCTTTGCAGGACTGAGGTGTCTTTGCAGGACTGAGGTGTCTCTGCAGGACTCAGGTGTCTCTGCAGGACTCAGGTGTCTCTGCAGGACTCAGGTGTCTCTGCAGGACTGAGGTGTCTCTGCAGGACTCAGATGTCTCTGCAGGACTGAGGTGTCTCTGCAGGACTGAAGTGTCTCTGCAGGACTGAAGTGTCTCTGCAGGACTGAGGTGTCTCTGCAGGACTGAGGTGTCTCTGCAGGACTGAGGTGTCTCTGCAGGACTCAGGTGTCTCTGCAGGACTCAGGTGTCTCTGCAGGACTCAGGTGTCTCTGCAGGACTGAGGTGTCTCTGCAGGACTGAAGTGTCTCTGCAGGACTGAAGTGTCTCTGCAGGACTCGGGTGTCTCTGCAGGACTGAAGTGTCTCTGCAGGACTCAGGTGTCTCTGCAGGACTCAGGTGTCTCTGCAGGACTGAAGTGTCTCTGCAGGACTCGGGTGTCTCTGCAGGACTGAAGTGTCTCTGCAGGACTCGGGTGTCTCTGCAGGACTAGGGCTGGGTACCTTTCTAAAAAGTCTGTACCCGTACCTTCACTTCAGTCTCGGTTTCTGGACGGTTCTTTTTTCGGTACCAACTTTATAAATAATTTAAATTCTAACAAGAATAAAACAACGTTACACATTACAGTACAAATCTTGAGTTTTATTTTTTAACTCTGGTATTTTTCTTTTCCAAGTAGTTTTCTTACATTAAAACAAACAAATAATTTCCAGGTCAAAGACCAGTTACAAACCAGTGACAGGTCAGTGTCTAATGGTCACTGCTTCACACTGAGGACCTTTTCACTGAACAGTTCTTCTTCAGAAACATGAACATGTCTGTTCTCTCTGGACACAAACCAGCTGCTCCTGGCTGACGGTGTCTCCAGCAGTAGATGTTCACTCTGAGGCTGTAGATGATGGTTGTTGCACACACAGATACCTGGTTGCCAGTTTGACATATTGTCCCTCACATCCCACCAGCAGGTCACTGGATTCACTGAGGTTAGAGATGATGCAGACTTCTGCACCTCTGTGTCTCTGCCTGAATCTTCTCTGGGGTTTAGGGCTCTGATCATCTCCCTAACTGACATGAGAACAAAACATCAACAACAACATGGTTGTGTTATTATTGATCAAAATCATTATCTAGGCTGAGAGATGCTGGTTTAACTGGTCAACAACATCCTTTACAGTTTACTTACCTCCACCATGCAGCCTCCACTGTAGAAAAAGGCAGAAAACTTTTAACATCAGTTTGTGACTGTCCTGTGCCCCTCCCCTTTTCTTTTGTCCTCCTCACATCAGGGTCAGAACCTCCTGTGAGCAGAACATCAACAGTGAACTCTAAAAAAGTGAAGTCAGATCTTCTGGACGTTCAAAAAACAAACAAAAATTGTAGAAACGTTTCGTATTTCATCCAAAAGACGACTTCTGTCTTGTTGCATGGATATCGCCATGTTGTTTGTGCCGCAATGCATTCTGGGTAAACGGTGTATGCTAGGTCCTGTGGTGCTAGCTCCGTCCAGCCAAAACAGCGATGAGTAACGTTACTCCGTCTCAGTTTGAACCGGAGCGTGCTGAAGTTGATGTAGAACTCACAAGGATCATCTTGATTTTCCGGTGGCCGGTCTGTGGTCCATCTTTACGGGATCAGTTACATCTTCTGACCTCTGCACTGCTGCGTCTGATGTGCTGACAGCAGCTTGTGCTCAGCATTTTCTAGTTGAAAACAACTGTAATAAAGATTTTTGTCGACTGTGTGATCTGGTGAGTAGATGACGTGCTCTGTGTCTACCGTCAGGTCTGGTAGCACCTGTACAGGGTCTGGTCTTTGGTCTGGTGTTGGATCAGACATTTTATATTCAGTACCAGCGGCAGGGGGAATAGCTAGAGCTTCCAGCGTTACCACTCTCTGATTCTTTTCCCAGCATCTTTCGCTCGCTAGCCGGCGGCGGCTTTAGGCTCTTTGTGGTTAAAAATGGTCGACACGACATTTGATTTGAGCTCTCGCGGGTAACGACAACCTGTCAGCTCCTTCAAAGTCTTCTGGAGAGAAGTGCTGAGAGCACAAATGTGGGTCCTTCGGAAGTTTCATTCTTCCGTCAGCTTTTTCCCGTCGTGCTCTTCTTTTTTTCATGTGGGACGCGGTGCACACTCACCTCATTATTTCTGCCGTTTCTGTTTTTAAATGACAGCCAACAGCGACGCGGTGAGGCCTTATCTAAATTTACAAACGCAGTATCATAAAAACCACTCGGGGAATGTTAGCCTTCCTGTGTTTACTCTGTGGAGTCCAGTACAGAACGGACCGAACCGTGGCTTCAACCCAGCATGCATTGCACAGCTGAAAAATGGCTGCCGCCATGGGTGAAAAATGTAACAAAACATAAATCGTTTTTGAAGTAATTGAGTTTTTACAATTCACATCAGCTATTTTTAAGATGATATGAAAAATACAACATATTTAGTCCAACATGTTCAACTAATCATGGATCTCTAAGTTTTAACGATGAGAAGACTGAAGTCATTGTCTTGAGCCCTAGCTCAACTGCCGCCTCTGACCCTGAAGACCTGGACTCTCTTCAGCCACATCTGAAGCGGTCTGGTAAAAACCTCAGGATGGTTTTAGACTCTGACTTCAAGTTTGACAAACAAATCAACTCTGTTCTGCAGAAAACCTTCTTCCAGTTAAGACGGGTAGTTGAGCTCAGGTCAGTGTTGTCCAGACCCGGCCTTGAGAAACTGGTCCAGGCCTTTGTCCCGCCCCGATTGGACTATTGCAATGCACTGTATGCTGGGGTCAGCCAGGCCTCCATCTCACGTCTCCAGCTCGTCCAGAATCCTGCAGCTCGGTTCTTAACTGGAACTCGTAGGTCTGAACACATCACTCCAGTTCTGTCCTCCCTTCACTGGCTCCCTGTGTGAACTAGAATAGTCTTTAAAATTCTTCTGTTGACCTTCAAACGTCTGAATGACCTCGCACCCCTTCACCTCTCTGAGCTTCTGGAACCTTACGTTCCCTCCCGGGCCCTGACATCATCTGATCAGCTGCTTTGGCTGAAGCTCAGAGGAGATCGGGCTTTTTCAGTCATGGGCCCCAAACTCTGGAACAACCTGCCCCCCCAACATGAGGCAGACCACC